ACATTAACTTCGACAAAGATGTATTCCATAGAACCGGAATATAGAGAAGAAGACGTGTTTAATATTTTATAAGGTATATCACTACGCAGATATATAGCAACACCTCCGCCTCTTATACCAATGCGGTCGTTACGGAGTAAAATATAACCTGGAAGACTATAAGACGTGGACGAGAGTTCTGGCTTAAGCCAGCTTTCCGATATGAGTATAGCATGTACTGCACTCGAAGAGAAAGTATCCAGGAGCTCCGTATAATGTTGAGGAATACTTTGTGCATTTAAATGGCAAATGTGAAAAGAGTTTTTGAGATTCTTCATATATTAATGTACGTAGTCTAGCAAACTCATCCGAAGCATCAGCAAGTGAAAGAGAAGAGGAACTTTTGCAAGTAGAATAAAAAGATTCATCATCTGACATTAGAAAATAACAAAATATTTAAAATAATAAAATAATAATGATACTAATTATGGGTATGTCACAGAACATCGGTGTAGATGAGTCGGGTATGAAACGGTCAGTTTGCGATGTGTTTTATGCACGCTTGACCAAAGTGCTTAATAGCCTTTTGTCCGGTGTGAATAAGACGCACGCATATAACGGTTGGATCATGCCTGTTCTCATGTATACCTTTGGCATACTCAGGTGGACTCAGACCGAACTGAACGCTCTGGTCAGAAAAGTCCGCACTATAATGACGTCCCACAGGATGCATCATCCGAGATCGTCAGTAATGAGGCTGTACTTGCCGCGAAAGCATGGTGGGCGCGGTTTTTTAAGCGCGCTTATCATGCATAATCGCGAAGTGTGCAGCCTCCGTAATTACTTTCTGACGAGAGCGGATGATCCATACTATAGGGACGTTATTTCTTGTGATAAAGGGCTAACCCCTCTATCCTTAGCCAACGAGCAATGGCAAGACCCGGCAGTACAGAGCATTTCCGACCGGGAGACCGTATGGAAGGAGAAGGAGCTCCACGGGAGGTTCTACAAGGCCCTTCATGAGCCTTTCGTAGACACAGTCGCCTCCCTCCACTGGCTACGTTTCAGTGACCTCTTTGGGGAAACTGAGGGTTTTGTCTGTGCAATACAGGATCAGGTTATTAAGACCAACAATTATCGGAGATACATCCTAAAGGATGGCACCGTCGACATCTGTCGAGCTTGTCACCATCCCGGTGAGTCACTTAGGCATGTCATCTCCGGTTGTTCGGCGCTTTCTAACTCTGAGTATTTGCACAGACACAACCTAGTAGCCAGGATTCTACACCAGGAGCTCGCTCTGAAATACGGTCTCGTGGATCGGAAACTGCCATATTATAAGTACTTGCCGGAAGCCGTGCTCGAAAATGACCGCGCCAGGCTCTACTGGGACCGGGCCATCATCACAGACAGGACTATTCTTGCGAATAAGCCTGATATTGTGCTGATGGACCAGGCACAGTCAAGGATATTTTTGGTCGACATTACCATTCATACCTATGACGGGAACGAGAACGAGAACCTCGTGAAAGCCGAAACAGATAAGCTGACAAAATATCTGGACCTGGCTCACGAGATGACCGACATGTGGGGTGGTCTGCCGGCCGAAATTATTCCTGTGGTCGTTTCTGCGAACGGGTTAATCCCAGTTAGCCTCTCGGGTCATCTGAGGCGACTGGGACTCCGTGACAGACCGCTCCAAGCTCAAATGCAGAAGGCGGTGCTCCTCGATACCGCCCGCATCGTCCGCCGGTTTCTTTCCCTTTCCCCCTAACCCTCGGCCGTTTGGTCTCCCCTGCCGGGGGCTTCCGTCTGGTTGGGTTTATTTATATATTTATGTATTTTTTATGTATTTATACTATTTTATTGATATTTATATATGTTTATATATTTCGTTTATAATTATATATTTAAACAGCCCAACCAGATGAGAAAACTTCATAGATAACCCCAATACTAATTATTAAATATATATATATATATGTGTGTATATATATATCTAACTAAATATTAAAAAAATATATGTTTATCTCTATACATCACCCTCCGGCTAACTGTTCACAATCTTAGCAATAACACCAGAAAAGGAAACAAATACAAAGTTACAAACAAATAGAAGAACAAAAAATAATAAACTTGCAGAGCATTTAAAATTAACCCAAAAAAATATATTAAAAAAAAAAGTACTAAGTAATTATTAAACTAGAATATTACTTGTAGCTAAAATAAAGATACATCAAATATATTGTGAAGTATGGCAAAAGGCCATGTAACCAAAGCCAAAAACAAAACAAGCTGTCAATGTCATCTGACATCTGAGTTTTGGCGGGAACTTGATCGGCGGCGGTTTGCTGCTCCTGTATTATAGTTTAAATAATAGTTTGAAGTGGATTTTGATATGTAAAAGTGATGCGATTTTATGTATTAACTGTCTACACATGTGAACTATTAGTGGAAACGGTGAAACAAGTGCTCTGATGGTGATGAATTCTCAAGATAAGCTGTTTGTTTGCATAGGCGCCTTTAGATACCATCGCCAACTGTCAGCTGCCTGCTGGCTCAAGTTGCCGTCAAAATCTCCCAAGGGCTGCATAATGAGACCCATCAACATATTGTGAAGCAGTGAACTATGAAGGATAATTATACATAAAGACAAGGCTGTATGGCATAGTTCCTTTGCCTGCTCTCTCGAGCGAATAATAAAAACAACAACAACATCTGACATCTGTGGATATCATGTCTTATCTTAGTTCTGTTTACATTTTTAGTATGTAGGTACTTAAATAAATCCAATAAGTTACCATTCTAGTATCGTTGCAATTATACCTACTTGTTATCAATAATAATAGTACAAATAACAAAAACAAATAACAGCTTACAAATTAAATCAAGCATGAGAATAAAGTAAAGTCAATGCAGGCTACTTGTTGCGAATTATGCGCTTGGGCCTCGTCGTCGACTTTGGTGCGCTATCTGATGGTCGACCCGATGCAGCAGACTGTTCATACTGCGCAATGAGCTCATCGAGGTCCTTGGTGTCTGTCAGCCGATGGCGCTTACCACTAGGCAACTTGACGTAGATATTACTATCAAGAGACCAAACTTTTCTGACACCAAAGTGCTTACGTGCAGCAATGAATAAAATTTGACGCTGACGAGTAAGAAACTCGGAAAGCACATATGGAGTACCTTTCAACTGTGTTTTCTTGGCCCAAATGGTTGACTTAATGGACTGATCACTATCACTTTCCCCTTTTCTTAATGCCACCCGAATGTTGACGTTTGCTAGATAAACCGATGTGACGTTGCATTGTTCTAGGAGTTGTGATGTTGCATTTACTAACGAGTGTCTGGTGGTCTTTCCCCTTTCTTTAAGTTCCTACTCCCATTCCTACGAATCCTGTTCCTATACCTTATGAGAAGGCAACGCACAAGTAACACTTCTGTTGTTTCTTGTGTCTATGGGCAGCGGTGAAATCACTTAGCCATCAGGTGACCCGCTTGCTCTTTTTGCCTCTCTTATGATATACAAAAATTAAAATAAATACCTTTAGATAATATTAGCTGAAATTGTGCCGCTGACAATTTATATAATGGCTGTAACAAAACAAAACATTTTTTCAGGTACAGTTTGAGAATATGAGTCCATTTGTATGACTTTTGAAAACGGGGCAAGATGGAAACTTTTATGTTTATCTTATCCCGTCAAATTTTGACGGGTAAAGACGAAATGTTACAATAAATCCTAAAATTCAAAAAGTAGCGATATTTAGACATAGCAACATAACTACCAATTAAAAATAATAAATATGTATACAAATAAGAAACTCGTACCTACCTCGTAAATCAAGTTACACGACACGGGGTAAGATTAAAACGCCCGAATTGCTCGCGTAAAATTCACAGCGTAGATATTCCCTTATAACACACAACCGATCCCTCAAAACGACAAATGCCGACTTAGGTCTGGTACGTAACAAAATGGCGGTCTTATGAATGTTGCCTATATTGGATAAATTACACAAAATCTGTCTTTACTGATGTCTTTTTGTCTTACCTCGTTTTTCATCTTCCCCCCCACTCACCCTAATCTCTAAATATAACACTACTATTATATGGTCATTCATTATAAAGCTCGTATAACTTTCGCCTACTTTTATAAATTCCTATTGTTGCCCATTCATTAAATGATTTGCGACTGTTAAAAGAGAAAGTTTTAGAAATAAATATCCTACTAAATTCACAAGTTATAATTTTAAATAACGTACCATACAAATAATAAGCACTATTTTTAAATGAAAGTGATGGAAGTCTTTTTATTATATTACTTCTAAGCCTCTCCAAGCGATGTTCATTTATTGGAACAAACACAACTTTCTTATTTTTCTGTTTCTTGTGTATGTAAGGCGATGATACCAACTTTCCACAGTGATCTGAACTTAAATTTTGAATTATTGATTTATGCAAGGGCTTAACATCTGTAAAAATGTTTTCTATACAGGCCGCACTAGGCCCAGCAATACGTGTTGGTTCTAAGAATACACGTTAGTAGTGGTAGTTAGTACAGTTCACATGGCAACCATTTGATTCGATTTTTTCACGTATACGGTAAATCTCGAATGCGCGAGTCGTGTGAACTGTGAACGAGACAACATGAACATAAGCGCCACTGCGTGTCTTATTCGGTAAAATCATTTCGATTCGCCGCATTCCATTGGCAACATCATACGGTATACGGTAAAAATGTATCTCGAACAAGACATTTTCCCGTATGGACTCCATGTGAACAGTTTGACATATTGTCTACTGCCACTACTATGTTCGATAAAATCTAGTGTACGGTATACGGGAAAATTATAGCTGTGTGAACGTGGCCTTAAGGTGATGGATATTCTTATGCCACCACCACACAACAGAATGTAGGAATTGTCAGTGTATGTATGTCATATGTAAGTTATAAAAAAATTAGTAAGTATTCTGTAGTGTCCATTAGTCTAATGTTAACTATGATAAAATTGAACCTTTTGCATTGCACTTCCATCTGGAAATGAAGAACCATGGCCTCCCGCGCCGTGAATCGTTAAGTTAAGTTCTGTAAAGAGAATATAAAATTAAATAAAATTTTAATTAAAATTTTCCAAATGTCGTTACAGTGGAGAAGCCTGAATCTAATTTAAAATTTATGAAGTGATAAAATTGCTAAAATCATAATCCAGCAACTTACATCCTTGCACAATCAGTGCTATGAGTTACCCAGCAAATTCAGCCAAAACACTATTGAATTTTAATATAGTAAATGAAGATCAAAACTATAAATAAAAATATCTAGTGATAATGTATTAGTGCTGTAATTTTTCAAATACTTATATAAAGTTTCTTCCTTGTTTACTTCCATTGACAAAATGGTACAAATTTTAGGTAAAAAGGGTTGGCTCTATATCAGGACACAGAGTCAACTCTTGGCATGATTTCGTGGTGATTTCGGTCTCGATCGATGTACAAACATATGGGCTTTTCAATTGGAAATATTGTAGTTATCAAGAAATTATTTTTTTAAGTTTTTAGGTTAGATTTTGCGGTTTTTACGAGGTGGTAGGACTGGATAGGCACAACCCACTTACCTATTTATACTCTCCAATAACGGTGTTTTATGTTTAAAGTTATTTTCAGGTGTCCGTGACCTGATTTTGTCAAAAATACGAAAGCGCCAGTCAAGTACTGTAGGTTACCAAAAGGCCACCCGCTCTACAACCTATCACCCGATTATTATCTTATCACCCGATATCACCAATTTCATGCCAGGGAAGAAGCTCTTCACTCACTAGCTTTTTTATAGAATGGTGTTGACAAACGAAAACACAGTCCACCTAATGGTAAGTGGATGCTGTAACTCATAGACATCTACATTTATCTTCGATCAAGCATCAAAATACAGATGCGTTGTTACCTCTGAGGACTACGATGGAATGCCTCGTTTCCAGTAAAAAGGTTCTCCGGTTCTCTACACTCCCCATACGAAACACTATTTTGGTATTCTGTGAGAGCATGGTACTTCCCCGGTCGAGCCGACCCATTTGTGCTACAACTACAATATTGCTGCAGCGTGGCTCCACCACCTAAAACATCTCTTCTTTTCCTTGTCCTTTCAAGCAGCATACTTACCTATTAAGAAATGCTTACCAGTGTTAACAAACATAATACAGAATATTCTATGTAAAAAGTAATATCCTAATATCATTTACAATCATAGAATATGCTTAGGGTTCAATTACCGAGATTTTTAATATAATTGGAGATTTTGTATATACGGACGGTTATAGAAAGAGAAGTCCGCAGTTTGATGTAATGCAGCATTAAATAATTGCCGTAAAAAAAAATGTGGAGTGCACAGAAATTTCCAATATAACTAAAATGCACATACGCCAAGCTCTTTTATCTTGATACGTTGCATATAGAGTACCATCAGGATACGACAATCCTTCGTCGAAAATAAAACCAGGATTTAACGCCCGAAATTCTTCTGTCTCTACAAACGGTACCATGCCATTAAATCCACCGGTTTCTTCATCTGTAATAAATAAGAAATACGTGATCTAAGAAGGTAATAATAAAGATAAGGAAGGTAATACTTGGATGTCTCTAGTGATGGGATTTCTAAGTGAACGTATGTCGTAGAACAGTTTTGATAATTTTTTTCTTTTTGAGTGTTTCAGATTCGTTTATTCTGCCATTTGGCAAAAGCTATTACGCTACTTGTTTTACGACATCCATATAATAGAATTAGGTCAAAGACGCTGCATCGGCATCGCAAATAATTATTCAAATAAGTACTTATAAGGTAAAGATTACTCGCGTCGTAGATCAAGTATCGTAGAAACCTCTGAACTGGAAACGGGGTAGTATCAAGTTCCCGTAAGTCGTCATATCATACCACACTGAACATCAAAGAAAAATATTTTAGTCCGCGAAATGTATTTGTTACTGTAAAAGCTCGAACTACGGTAAATCCTAAGGTTTTCCAGTAAAACCTAGCATTTACCAAGTCTTAGTGGTAAAAGTCCGAACTGTTCTCTGGTAATAATTAATTTCAGACTTTTACTACCATAAACATAGCAAATCTTAGGTTTTATCTAAAAGACATGTTGGAAAATAGTCATGTATAAAAGTGGTTGGCGCATTATCGTGGTCGCGGACAGTGTGCAGTGTCACCTCTCTCTCCGCTCGACACAATCGGTCGATTAGTACGTACGTTTTTGTTATGTAAAAGTATTTATGAGACAAAATGAGCGTGAAACAAAAATTTGTATGGAATGCTGGACGAACTCGTGACAAGTAAGAAAGGCAATAACGTTTATCTCGATAGGAATAAAAGCATAGTGTTTAGAGAAATTAAAGGCTGAAATTTTCAACATTTTGACATTTTTGACATTCATCCAGGCAACGAAAAATAGAGCATATCATGAGAGAGTCAAAATAACCTCGTACAAAGTAATGTTAGGTTTTCCAATAAAATGGGCATCGCAACTACAGCGATCCCTAAAGATTATAGTGTAGTTTGGCTAATTAAGCTAGTTGGGTGCGACATATACACGCATAATTTATGTAAATGCTGGAGTTTTTGCAAGTCGTAAAAAAAATAACGCCCAAACTGTAAATTGCTATTGTGCGAGTTGTTGTACTAACAGCATTATAACTACGCTAAGTATAGGGTAGAGCGACGCTGCAGCTATATTATTGTTGTAGCAAGTATGGGTCCGCTCTACCAGAGTAGGACTACACTCTCACTTTTTCCCTAAGGATATGATTGGAGTTATAAGATCTGAAGAAGATTTGGAGAATTTGTTGCATTCACATATAAATGCGGTACCTACAATATATTACCTATATATTACCGCCGAAAATGTAATTGAACATGACAAAGAAGATATTAATGTTGAGAAATAGTCACAAAAGGCATTGTCCAATAACGCTGTCATAAATAAAATACAAGAAGAGATTATTACGGAGAATGTGAAGGCTAAGAAAAAACCCGATGTTTCTAATGTAACAACTGATGATAATGTCACTAGAAAATGTGATATTGATTTGGAGAAAGAAATCAAGAAACAATTTCAGGAAGTTCTTGTAACTATAGAGTCAATACCATAAGAGATTGAATTTGTACTGACAATAATCTCTTAAGAAAAATTAATGAATAGTACTTAGCCAACGTAGGTATAATGTTTGTGAGAGAAAACAAATATATTTTTCTGTATTATACGGTAAAAACTGATCATAAAAATATTTTAAAATTTAGTCGGTAACATGATTCGATGTTTAATAAATACTTTCTACTTATATTATTTTTTTTCCAAAACCAACTTTTACTAATAGTCATTGGTAAAACCTAGCATGTCCCAAACTCTAACGGTATAAGCCCAAAAAATCGTCTCATTTTATACCAAAGCTTGCATTTACCAGCTCATGTTGGTAAATACTAAGATTTAAAAGAAAATCCTAAGATTTACCTAAATACGGGCTTTTACAGTAACATATACATGACTACTGCAAGACAGACTCACAATACCTCTTACTATTTTTTTTAATCTTGCCAATTATAAAATCCACTTTTACATTATCATTTAACTTCCACATCAATGTACAGATTCGTAAGTAAATTAGTTTTATTTAAGACGGACTACGTGATAAGTGGTGAAGTACTGTGTTTAGGAATACCGTATGCTTAGGAAATAAGAAATATTTGGAGTTTTAACATGAAAAATCTATCAACGAAAATATTGCGGCTTTCATATTCGGCATTTTATTTCATTCGGCAGGGGTAGTTTGCTCCTCATAAAAGCGATGCATGCAAGCATTTCATACGTTTTATACCTGGCATAAGTGTAATATGTAAAGTTCTTTGCAATGTAACGTTATCTTCCTTAAGTTTTCTAATAGCTTCTAGGTAATGGAGTGCGACTGATTTTGTATCTTGTGTGCCACGACCGTACATGTTACCATTTTTATCAATATATCCAGAAAACGGCGGGTACGTCCATTCTTGCTAAAACAAAAATGGATTTTGTGATTGTTGATATTCTCTTAATTTTTATCTTATAAAAAAGTTTTTGAACGTAAACAACTACTCCTTACAAAACGAAGCACCTAACTATCTAAATGTTCAAGTTTCATTAAAATTACTTTGATAAAGCATATCACAGTACTAATTATGAAATGACAAGTGGTAATATTAAACATTTTGTACATAACCGACTTCAATATAAGTAAATAAAATGAAAGATCTTCAATGTAGTAAGGATAACTCAAAAACTACTGATCTTGATTAAATTTATGTAGGACCGCATAAGAAGCCCCAGATTTCAAGTAAAAAAATAATCATCAAGATCGGTTCACTTAGAAAAAAGTTCTGAAGTAACACACATAAAAATACAGTCGAATTGAGAACCTCCTCCTTTTTTAAAGTAGGTTGAAAAGTATTTTAATTTGATGAGTATTTATGAATACAGTACATACATCAGAAACTAGCATAATCTTATTCAAAGGTTATTTACAACTTAAAGTGATAAAAAATAACTAATCATGTCTTCTCTTTGCGAAAATAACGTGTAATTTCAAAAAAAATCTTTTTTATTCGTTCATTCAAACTGCCATTTTCAACGTTATTTTTAACAAAATGTGGTATTTTTTAAGTGAGAAACATTGCATCAATGAAAAAAGGGAGGGCAAGACAGTATTATTCAGTTAGTTTGTAGTGGTAGGTATGTTGCTTTGTCTCACAATTAATCTAAGTTTTCACAGATCTGCTTCAATAATGTCACACCTGAATTTACTTTACGCGTGGTAAATAAGTCTCAATGGTTCAAGGACAAGCCATGAACTGGCCGCTAGAAAATGTTTGCCTCTAAGTATTATTTGTAATCCTTTTTTATTATGTATGGTTAAACCAATAAACAATTATTAAGTAAAAAGTAGAAATTTTATAAATAACGTATAAATAAATTAAATAAAAAAGAAACGTTCAGGATTTCTCGCCATTTTTTAAAAAACATAAGACTGCAACTATCAATTTTTAATGCCGGCAGGAATCGAACTATGTCAATAAATATTTTAATCAATTTTAATATTATATTCCTTTTTTTTTGCATATTTACCTCATCAACTGGGACGACATCTATATGAGAATTGAGAATTATACTCGGAAGTTTCGGATTGGCACCAGTCCATGTAATCACACAAATAGGTTTTCCTGAAGGTCTATACACCATAAACGGCAGACCTAAGTCAGCTGCTTGACGTTTCCAAAAATTAACAGCACATTCTGTATAATGTAAATTAGACAACGGCAGTTAGAAGCAATTAGCATGTTAAATAGTTTTATAACAATACGACACCTTATTTTCGTAGAAATTTACATTAAACATTATATAAGTACATTTACATAGTTGTTTGCTTGTTTTATCATAAAAATTGTAATATTTTGAACTTTAATGAACTTTATCATCAGCATCATCATTACATCACAAGGCCCACTGCAGAACATGGGTTCTAATAGAATGATAAAAATAAAACACGTACACAGAAAACACACAGAAAAGGCCGTGCTTATACTATATATAGTATAAGCAGGGCCTTGAGTCACCTGCAGCCTGTTTCATAAAGTCATCTCTCCATCCACCCACACTGCCCTTGACAGTAGAGGCTGCCATTCGAGAATAAATTCACTTATTGAATTTAGTACCTTCAATATAATCTCTAGCAAAGCCTTTATTTTAATGTAGTTATAGCCTCATGGCTATACTTTTAAATCATCATTATAATCCAGCATGTGTTTAATGCTGAACATGAGATATACGATCTGTCTCATGCTTATCAGTCAGGTATGTTACTACGCAAAAACAAATATAGATAAGTAGATATCAATATATTTGTATTGACAAAAAGATGCCATGTCAGAACTGCTAAACAACGTAAAAGGAAAGATACAATTATTTACGTACGTTGGGTACAAAACTAGCATAAATCCATATCATGTGTGTGTGTGTGTGTGTGTGTTTTTTTTTAATGGATAGGGTGACAAGCGAGCACATAGTCCACCTGATGGTAAGTGGTTACTGTGACCCATAGATATTTACATCTATCCTCAATAAAAAATCAAAATGCAGATGCGTTGTCACCCGTGAGGACTAAGATGGAATGCCTCTTTCCCAGTAAAAAGGGTCTCCGATTCTCTACACTCACCATACGAAACACATCAGTGTTAAGCTGCTATTTTACGCTGGTATTTTGTGAGAGCGTGGTCCTTCCCCGGTCGAGCCGACCCATTCGTGCTACAACTATACTTCTAATATAGCTGCACCATGTCTCTACCACGTATAAAGATATGTGAGACGCCTATTTGTTGAACATTTTGACATTTTAAGCACAAGATTACAAATTTTTAACTGCTAATTTTTATCTGTACATAATTATTAATTTTAAATTATTTTATAAACCGCTATATGGGTTTATAAAAAAAATTAAAATTTAAAATTTTGTACAGCCGACTTCAATATAAGTTATTAAAAATAACTCAAAAACTATTGGTCTTGGATTCATATGGGACCACACGTGAAAGATGAGAAGTATCAGCTTTCATATAAAAAAAGAATCATCGAAATCACTTCACCCAGTAAAAAGTTATGAAGTAACACACATAAAAAAAACATACAGTCGAATTGAGTACCGTCTCCTTTTTAGATGTCGGCAGAAAATGTCGCGAATTAAGAATACGAACATACATAACATATTATACCTAACAGAACACAATATGCAACATAACATAAACACACGCTTGTCACTCAGAGAGCTAGGCAGATACTAAGGATTTCTATTTGGCACAAAAACAAGTGGTAAAATTATAAATTTCGTACAACCAACTACAGTATATATAAATAAAATGAGAACATGATCAATGTAGTGGAAGTCAATTAAATACGCATGTTTTAGGATAACTCAAAAACTACTTGTCAGATCTTAATCAATTTTATAAGGGACCACATGAAAAGCACCAGCTATCAAATAAAAAAAAGAATTATCAAAATCGGTTCACCTATAAAAAAAAGTTATGAGGTAACATACATAAAAAACAGTTGAATTGAGAACCTCTTCTTTTTTGAAGTTAGTTGAAAAATATTTTTTAATAACGTACTAATGGCACTTACCAATGTTTTCCTCACGGCTCGTATCTATCTGAATATATTCTTGCAATAACTTAACAGCAGGGTTATCCACATACGGCTGTAAAACACTAATTTTTGGAGTTGGATTTGATAAAGTAATTTTGAATAGCATAAGAAAAGACAAATACACTCGCCACATGATTCCAATTATGCCTCTTGAATCTTCCCTGAATGCTAACAATACAATGAGGATTTTAACGACAGTATTATCGTGTATGCAAATTATATAAAGGTAAGGTTACACCGTAGTAACTCATTACCGTCAAAAACATTTGTCCATTAATTAAAGTAAAAATATACTAAGCGTATGTGTTTTTTTTTTATATATTACTATGTATACCAATTTCTCAGTAATGGCCGAACTGATTTTAATGATAACTGATAATAATAATGGGCTCGAATCCCGCACCGAACTAGTATTTGTTTGGCTTACAAATAATTGTTCCGGATCTGTATGTTTGTCCTTGTGAAATTTATGTATGTAAACTGCCCCCACGATACAGGAGAAAATCCTAGTGTGGAGGTAACGTCTAAAAAAGAAAAAATATATACCTGCTTCTTTTATTAAATAGGTATCATCAGGGATAATCTATATAAATATTAAGATAATATTTATATATTGAATAAAACTATTTTTACGGATTTTATCGCGTTTAATTTACTTATTTTATATTCCCGACGTTTCGGTTGCTTTCCAGCAACCGTGGTCACGGGTTAGTTCATTCTGCGTAGATCGGACCAAAATTAATAATTAAAAAGCTGAAGGTACTCCGGGTTAACTTTGACATCGGAACGTCAATCACCTCAGTCCCCCGTGACCACGGTTGCTGGAAAGCAACCGAAACGTCGGGAATATAAAATAAGTAAATTAAACGCGATAAAATCCGTAAAAATAGTTTTATTCAATGTGTAGTGTTCGCGTAAATATAAGAAATCATTAAATATTTATATAGATAATATTTACATATAAATTTTAAGAAAAAAAATTCAACCCATAACTAACTTAGGTATACCTTAGATTACATAAATGTACATAATCCTTTGATTGCTTATGTAATCTCACTAGCGATCCGCCTCGGTTTCGCACGGTTGATTTTTGTATGTCGACAACAAAGCCACCTAGCGGGACCAATTTGAATCTAAACTATTCACTAATCAATTTAATCACACACACAAAATTTCATCAAAATTGGTCCAGCCGTTTAGGAGTTCAGTCACATACACACAGATAAAAAAATTATATAATGTAAAATATACATGTATTATACATATAAACTTTTATCTTAAATCATTCTCTCTATCGATGAAAACGTTGCGTAATTTAAAAGATATAAGCATACAGACAGCGGGAAGCGACTTTGTTTTATACTATGTAGAGATGTACGAGTAGGTTAGCACAGTCTTACTAACCTTCTATGAGCTGTCATTGCTGTCCTACATCTGATATTATAAAATACAACAACATATCTTACATTTAAAGCGCTACATAGGTACTCCATTGCCACCTCGATCATTTAAGACCACTCGCCAGATGATATTTATTTAAAAAAATAATACAAATAAAACAGGAATATAAAAATTACTATTATCTAACCACACCTTAACGAAAAACACGAAAGTTAGACTTTGACCGCAGAACCGCTTGTTGTATGCCGACAATTCAGCGCTCCGACTTAAAGAAGCCCTATTGACCGTGCAGTGGTGGTGTAAGAATTTCCACTACCCCATGTCATCCAGTGGGTGTCGTGCCAGAACCAGAAAATGGAAGAATCAGAAAAAGTAAGAACTAAAAATAAAAATTGTGGTTGCCAACCCGCCTGCCAAGCGTGGTAAGTATGGCAAATTACTCCTATGAGGCTGTCTATGGGGAATGTCTATGTTAAGCAGTGGACTTTTAAATCGAGTTCGAGCAGTAGAGCGCTTACTGCAGATTGAATTATGTATATTTTTTTCGGTTACACATGTCCGACGATATGAATCGCGTCCAATAAAAGAATGGAAGAGAAATAAAATAATCACTCCCTTAATACCTTTGTATTACAATTGATATAATATTTTAAGTAACATTATCTACATTTATTTTTATATAGTGCTGCGTCAACGTATTTTTATATATTTTTAAATAAAACTAATTTTACGGATTTTATCGCGTATATTAACTTATTTTTAACTTATTTTTATATTCCCGACGTTTCGGGTGCTTTCCAGCACCCGTGGTCACGGGGGACTGAGTTGTTTGACGTCCTGCTGTCATAGTTAGCCCGGCTACCTTCAGTTTTTTAATATTAATTTTTGGTTCGATTTACGCAGAATGAGCTTACAGTATCTTGAAGTCTAGCAGTGGTATACTTGGGTTTGGATTTGATTTTATTAATTATGGGATCCCAAGCAGATGGCAGCACCCATCCATCTTCTCTATTGAAATTAGGATGTTTTTTAATTTCAATAGCCTCGCGAATCATCCTTGGGAGGAATCGGTGTTCTTTTGCGAGGATTTGTGGTCTATCAAATCTAATGTAATGACGGGGACGATCCTGAACATGTTCACAAACTGCAGACTTCCCGATACGCAGTTCACAAACTGCAGTCGCGATACGCAGACTGCAGTTTGTGAACATGTTCAGGATCGTCCCCGTCATTACATTAGATTTGATAGACCACAAATCCTCGCAAAAGAACACCGATTCCTCCCAAGGATGATTCGCGAGGCTATTGAAATTAAAAAACATCCTAATTTCAATAGAGAAGATGGATGGGTGCTGCCATCTGCTTGGGATCCCATAATTAATAAAATCAAATCCAAACCCAAGTATACCACTGCTAGACTTCAAGATACTGTAAGCTCATTCTGCGTAAATCGAACCAAAAATTAATATTAAAAAACTGAAGGTAGCCGGGCTAACTATGACAGCAGGACGTCAAACAACTCAGTCCCCCGTGACCACGGGTGCTGGAAAGCACCCGAAACGTCGGGAATATAAAAATAAGTTAAAAATAAGTTAATATACGCGATAAAATCCGTAAAATTAGTTTTATTTAAAAATGTGTAGTGTTCGCGTAAATATAAGAAATCAGTATTTTTATATAATTATTTTTATTTTTAGTTACACTATTAATGCACTTTATATTATTGTGCAAATTGAGAAAACACTGATATATTATGCTAAAAAAAATGTATATATATAAATATTGTATCATGTAATATAAATATATATCATATAAGTATATAATATATCAATCAATCAATCAATCAATGTCTTTATTCATTAACAATAAATTGTGTACGAATATTACAGGAATGTCCAATTTATATTGCTAAAACTTAACTTAGTTAAACAAAATAAATTAATTAGATAATCAAACAATAAAAAAAAATAAAAAAATTTAATTAACTAATAAATGTCATCACAATCATTATTCTACCTACTTAACGATTAATATTCATCACAAATGTTGAATAATATATTGTTTACATAATATAATAAAAAAACTAAAGTTCCAAAAAATAAAAAGAAGAAATGAGAAATAATCAAACTATTAAATTTATTATCATTTAAATAAATATTATGACTACTCTATAGTTAAAATTCATCAACACTGTAAATACATTTCTCTATAAGTAGTGCCTTCAACTCTGTTTTAAAAACACTTAACTTTTTTATTTCTTTTAGTTTTTTTGGCATCTTGTTAAAAAGTAAAACTGCCTGATAACGAGGACAGTGTTTTACAATTTCCATTTTAGGTATAATAGGCAAAGTCAAGTCCATCCTTCTGGTGCTTTCTCTCTCTTTCATTTCTTCATCACTTTCATAAAAATGCCTGTTTTTTATAACATCAGTCAGAAGTATCAAAACATACACGCTGGGTGCTGTAAGAACTTTTAGCTTTTTGAAGTATTCTTTACATGATTCCCAAGGCGGAACGCATACCATTGCTCTTATAGCTCTTTTCTGGGCAGTAAATGCTTTTTTCATATTATATTTATAGCTATTGCCCCAGAATTTGATGCTATATCTTAGCTTGGATTCAACAAGCGCATAGTATACGTTTAAAAGTTGATCTATTGTCAATTCTTCCCGCAAGGTCCGTAAGGCATAGCTTGCTGAACTTATTGTGTCTGTTATGGCTGCCAGCTCAACTTTCCAATTTAGGAGATCGTCCAGATGAATTCCCAAAAACTTCACAGAACTTACAGTTTTTATTATTTCCCCATTTACATTCACTTCTGTTATGTCATTATTTCTTGTGGTGGCTTTGAACATGACGATATTAGTTTTAGTTGCATTTTGCAATAAGCCATTTGCTGTGAACCATTCTCGGAATGTTGTCATAGCTACAATAATCCTGTCCTTTAACTCTTCTGCAGTTTTTGATGATAGTACTGCACTCGTATCATCTGCAAAAGTAATTACTTGTATATCAGGAACCAGATTGCAGATGTAATCTATTAAATCGTTAAAAAATATTATGAAAAATATCGGTCCCAGTACAGAACCTTGAGGTACACCTCTTGTTACTATAGTTACTACAGATCTATGTTTGCTCTGCACTCCTGTTTCATTTGTATCTACAATTTCTACAAATTGTCTCCTATTACTCAAATAAGATTTAATAAGTTTTAGTGATTGATCCCTAATTCCATAGTATTCTAGTTTTTTTATTAATATGCTGTGATCTACGGTATCAAAAGCAGAGCTTAAGTCTAAGAATAGGCCTGCAACTTTAACTTTTTTATTTAATTCTGTTAATATATCGTTCACTATAGTATCAACTGCGTCAATATATATATATATATATATGATGTATATGATATATATATTAAAGTAAACGTTAAAACCTCCATACCTATTGTGCATGGTATTCAATGTAGCTTATCGAACGTCAGAAATGAATAAATCTATGTACCTAAAAGTTGGTTTTCTAAATGCAGGCTCATTAGGTACAAAACATGATGAGTTTATAGCCGTTATGAGCCAATATGAAGTTGATATAATATCTGTACTCTAAACTAGACTGGTGTCGTGAACACAATAAGTATCTGACGCGTGTTTCTTCTCGCATATTAAGTGTCCCTCGACATAGTTCGGCGGCCTTCAGAGGTAGTTACAAATATACAGCCACCCACTGCTGGAATAATAT